CACCGTGTTTCACTCCAACAGCCTCAAACAGCCTCAGGGGGGTTTTAACGGTGAAACCCACCCTTTACAGGCTGGTCGACTGTAAACGACCACACACGTTAGACAAGCCGACAGACTGTACGATATTAAAGCGCTTCGCCTGCTGGTCAAATAAGTCGAGGGCTCATTTGCATAACGACTAGCGAGCGGACCTCCACTCCCCGAAGTGTCTCTCGTATCCCGCGGCGACCAGCCCTTCCTGCGCTGCAATGTGCTTCATGCGAGTCCAGGCGGGACAGGTGATGATGCGGTCGACTCTCCGCCCCCACGCCTCGTACTGCTGCAGTCGGGGGGGATTCTGCTCACACTGGCGCCCCAGAGCGTCGATCTCGCTAACGATCCGCTCTCCGAACGTACGCAGATCAGACTCCACCTCCTACAACACACACTCAATCAGCACTCTCAGTCTGAGCCTCATTCGCATAACTAACATCATCATGAGTACGATATCGCAGAAAGTGAGTGCGACAACGATGTAGAACGTTCTAGAACGCTGTAGTTACATTACTCTGTGCTAGCTAACTAGCTAATGTGCCTCGGTAAGTGGCTAACCAAAGCCTTAACTGTTCCACTGTGAAGGAACCCTGAGTACTAGCTAACGTGGCTGTTAAAGTAGCTGACCCTCACTTTAACTGTTCTATTGTAAAGGAACCCTGAGTACTAGCTAACATGGTCATGGAAGTAGCTGACCCTCACTTTAACTGTTCTATTGTAAAGGAACCCTGAGTACTAGCTAACCTGGTTGGGTAAGTAACTAACCGTAAATCTAACCTTAATCATTCTATTGTGAAGGAACCCTGAGTACTAGCTAACATGGTCATGGAAGTAGCTGACCCTCACTTTAACTGTTCTATTGTAAAGGAACCCTGAGTACTAGCTAACGTGGCTGTTAAAGTAGCTGACCCTCACTTTAACTGTTCTATTGTAAAGGAACCCTGAGTACTAGCTAACATGGTCATGGAAGTAGCTGACCCTCACTTTAACTGTTCTATTGTAAAGGAACCCTGAGTACTAGCTAACGTGGCTGTTAAAGTAGCTGACCCTCACTTTAACTGTTCTATTGTAAAGGAACCCTGAGTACTAGCTAACCTGGTTGGGTAAGTAACTAACCGTAAATCTAACCTTAATCATTCTATTGTGAAGGAACCCTGAGTACTAGCTAACATGGTCATGGAAGTAGCTGACCCTCACTTTAACTGTTCTATTGTAAAGGAACCCTGAGTACTAGCTAACGTGGCTGTTAAAGTAGCTGACCCTCACTTTAACTGTTCTATTGTAAAGGAACCCTGAGTACTAGCTAACATGGTCATGGAAGTAGCTGACCCTCAGACCCTCACTTAACTGTCTATTGTAAAGGAACCCTGAGTACTAGCTAACGTGGCTGTTAAAGTAGCTGACCCTCACTTTAACTGTTGTATTGTAAAGGAACCCTGAGTACTAGCTAACGTGGCTGTGTAAGTGACCCAACAATCGCTACAGTGCACTGCGTACAGTAATGGAATGCAGATCTACAGTGACGTATTCAGTGAGATGATGTAATAAAAACTGTGTTTGTTCTTTATGTTGCGCTCGTACGTTTTACCTGTAGCGGCAGGTGTCTGCGCAGGTACGCCCGCAGCAGTGCATCCTGGGTAAAGGGGTTCCTGAGCAGAGGCTGCTCCTGGAAGAAGCTCCCGATGGCGGCACGGGAGAACAGAGGGAGAGCTTGCGTCTCGGCGAGCGCGTGATCCTCCGGCTCGGTCCGCCTGATCGAGGCGCTGGACGAGCTGCTCCGGACCAGCTGCCAAGCGAATGTGCGCAGAACCTGCCGGTTCCCACGTAAACACACCTCAAGAATCATCACCGGACCTGGAAAAGAGACCTGCACCCACGCACAGGGACACATTTACACCTTGTGGAACCTCTGCACCTGCTGACCTAGTGGACCTGTTCTGGTTCCTCCTGACCTTCTGGACTTACTCTGGTTCCTTCTGACCCTCTGGGTCTGTTCTGATTCCTCCTGACCTTCTGCACCTGCACTGGTTCCTGCTGACCTTCTGCACCTGCTCTGGTTCCTCCTGACCTTCTGCACCTGCTCTGGTTCCTACTGACCTTGTGGAACTACTCTGGTTCCTCCTGACCTTCTGGACCTACTCTGGCTCCTCCTGACCTTGTGGACCTGCTCTGGTTCCTCCTGACCTTCTGGACCTACTCTGGTTCCTCCTGACCTTCTTGACCCTGCATATATCTTTCCACCATTAAAAGATATTAAAATACGTTTTAGAACCAAAATCTTCTCTAAACCATCATAAAACAGTGTCTCAGTCATCAGGCAGTGAATTCATAACCATTTACTGTAGGAACTTTCTGTGAGGGAGCTTTTAGAGGTGGACGTCTGGTTCCTATCACCACCACTGTGAACAGTTCTGACTCAGCAAGTTTATCTAGAACAGAGCGTTTCACACCAAACCACTCTGAACCGCTCTGTTTCCATCTCAAACGTTTAAAAATGCAGAGAATTTTGGAAAACGGGTGGGATTCCCCTTCAAACTCAGTCACTTGGATACGGAGTCGCCGCACTGGCGAAGTCCGTGTCGGCTTTAATGCGCGCGATTATTTAATATTTATTGATTATTAATTATTTATAGAGTTAATTTCGTTTCCTTCACCCTAAATCTGTTCTACCTACTAACCTCCTCGAAAAACGCGTCCTTTTCTGCATGTTGTTTTTCTAACTCTCCGTTCCACCTTAAATGGTGCAGCAGCCGCACTCCGGCGTTTCAGGCTACCGCTCTAACTGCAGCCCCATTTAAGGTGGAACGGAGAGTTCGAATAAGAAGCCAAATTCAGCTTCGTAGCGAACACGAATGTAACCAACAGATCGACACGCGGCACTTATGCGTTAATATGTATAATCTGCGTCGAGATTAAACCTGACTTTATTAATTAATGCACACAATTATTAACGGTAATATTTATATTCGATCTCAGTCACCTTTCACCCACTTCCACACAACCTGCACAACACCGACCTGACGGGATAAACTCTTAGTTTAGACCGATCTGGATTAATCCGCGCCTACAGACTACAGATTAAACCTGAAATTAAAACTTATAACGTTATTAAAGTTTCAGTCACTTACAGAACTGCTTTGTTTTGAACCGCTGTTCCGTGTGCAGGTTTATACACAGCGACACCAGCGGCGACTCCGAGAACTGCAGCTTATTATCCTTATTCTTACTCTAAAATCACCAAACCTGTTTATAAAACCTGAATGTAAGTCTATATTATTACAGACTCATATCATAATATACTGAATATGCTGTATAATATGATTATATACAGGGTCTAATGTGATGTTACGCCGTCTAATGTAATAATATACAGGGTCTAATGTAATATTACGCCGTTTAATGTAATAATATACAGGCCTAATGTAATATTACACCGTTTAATGTAATAATATACAGGGTCTAATGTAATATTACGCCGTTTAATGTAATAATATACAGGCCTAATGTAATATTATGCCGTCTAATGTAATAATATACAGGCCTAATGTGATATTACCCCATTTAATGTTATAATATACAGGCCTAATGTAATATTACTCCGTTTAATGTAATAATATACAGGCCTAATGTGATATTACTCCATTTAATGTAATAATATACAGGGCCTAATGTGATATTACTCCGTTTAATGTAATAATATACAGGCCTAATGTGATATTACTCCGTTTAATGTAATAATATACAGGGTCTAATGTGATATTACTCCGTTTAATGTAATAATATACAGGCCTAATGTAATATTACTCCGTTTAATGTAATAATATACAGGGTCTAATGTGATATTACTCCGTTTAATGTAATAATATACAGGCCTAATGTGATATTACTCCGTTTAATGTAATAATATACAGGTCTAATGTGATATTACTCCGTTTAATGTAATAATATACAGGCCTAATGTGATATTACTCCGTTTAATGTTATAATATACAGGCCTAATGTGATATTACTCCGTTTAATGTTATAATATACAGGCCTAATGTGATATTACTCCGTTTAATGTAATAATATACAGGGTCTAATGTGATATTACGCCGTCTAATGTAATAATATACAGGCCTAATGTGATATTACTCCGTTTAATGTAATAATATACAGGCCTAATGTGATATTACTCCGTTTAATGTAATAATATACAGGCCTAATGTGATATTACTCCGTTTAATGTAAGATACATATATCATATGATATAGTAAATACTCCACACATAATACTGCATAATAAACTGACCATATAATGTAATATATAGAATACTCTGTATGTAATGCTGATCACAGTGAATACAGTATATTACATTAATAACGCTGCTGGTTACTGAGACTCAGTGAGACGTGTTGGTCATTATTTGGACTTTAATGCAGCTCCATGCAGTTTTACACTCAAGGCATGCTGGGTAAATGAGACGGCTGATAAGTGAAGAGCTTTAGTAACAGAGTACAGAATATATATCAGTCAATAAAAACAGCCCAACAGAGGAGCAGATACATAAATATAGAACAAACAGCTCACATCCTTCCCTCCTCTCCAGCTTTACAACGTAAAAGTCCCTCCGCTCTCCTCCACCACCTTTACAACGTAAAAGTCCCTCCGCTCTCCTCCACCACCTTTATAACGTAAAAGTCCCTCTGCTCTCCTGCACCTTCAGACTCCACCTCTATAGAAATACCACTGAAAGCTTTATGTGCACAGATATTAAAGATAAAAACACAGCGCAGCGCTGAAAAAGACTCGGGACGGGAGTATAAAAGTCTTTCTGTCGGGTTCCTGCGGCGCCACGCGCCTTTTCCTGAGGTTTGTGTGGTTCTTTTTTTTATTATTCTTTTAAAACCATGAGGATTAAAAAGTTTTAAAACACTGAGAAACAGAAACAGGACAAAAACAATTACAGACGCAAAAACAACAAAACAACAACGGCTTTAAAAGCAAAATCAGTTTTTTTCTTTAAAAAGAGAATGGTAAAGAGTTTAAACATTGAAAAACAATCCTGTTACTGTGTCTTACACACGATTACTGCACAAAACGCATAATAAAGTCTAGCGGGGAGGAGAAGCGCAGCGCCGCGCCCTCTGCTGGAGATGTTCAGAACTTCCATCTGTTTCTCCGTTGCGGACGTTTTTGATAATCGATTTAGGCCACGCCCACACGCATCGGACAGCGTTATTCAGTCTGAGCACCAACAGCATGTCTGGAAATTTGTCTGTCCACACAATAACGCAAAAATGACGCTCGCATGAGCAAGTCAGGCCAGTAGGGGGCGATAATACTTCATTAAATGAGATGTCAAACGACCAAAGAAGAACATTAAAATATGTATGTTGCACAGAAGTGCGAAACTGTAGTGATGGTGCCGTGTTAGCATGCTGCTAACACAAAGTCTGAACAGAAAGGGGGTTCATTCATATTCATTTATATTATTTAGATTCATTTATATTAATTTAGATTCATTAATGTTGATTTATCCCGACTCACGATGAAGTAAAGAAGTGCAGTCGCTGCTTAAAGTTACACCACAGTCAACAAAACAGAGGAGGATTCTACTGGGAATCACGCAGAAGCAGGTCCTCCGATGTTTTAGGCCCGGTCCACGCGTACGGGGGTATTTTTTAAACGGGGCTTTTGGAAAAATCCTGTCCACGTAAAAACACAAAAACGCCATCAGGGCACGCTGTGACGTCACAATCCCAAAATACGGAATATCTGCACTCCGGAAGGAGTTTTGTGTCCGGATACAGAAGGAGTTTCTGTCCAAACTCGATGCCAGTTTCTCTGGTCGGTAATAAAAGCGTGTAGAGTATTTAACGGCCTCTCAGACTCCACCGTCTGCAGCGCTGCCTCTCCCGTCTCGCCCACATTCAGGACATTACGACCATCATTCAAAACCACCTTCAGCCATGAAACGCCGTGTTGGTGTGAACTGGAGGCCAAAACACAGAGAACAGCTACATACATGTCCAGACACGAGTGGATGGGACCTAAACATCACCCAACAGCTGGACAACTTCCTGTGAAACGGCATTTTACGACTGTACAAGCAGCAGCTCCGAATATGATAATCAATAATCAATAATCAATCTCTCTGATTAGTGAATTAAAGACATCCAGGGAGGGACGTGATTGGGGTTGCCAGATTGATTTAGCAAAAATATATATATACTTTTTTTAAATGATTGAAAAACGCCCAAAAAAGTATTAAAAGTAATAAATATAATGTAAGTAAAAGTCAGTAATGCTGAGCGAACTGGACAAACCAGGCCACACCTTCTATCTGACACTGACAACGATGCTGACGGGCGGAGCGAAGTGTCAATCAAAGTTCTGATGACTGACAAGTTTCCGCTGCTTTACTGAACAGTGCAGCAGTTTAGTTTTACACACGATTACATTCTAAAACTCTACCAACATCTTAACAGCCCACATTTCAACCCCCCAGTAAAAAGTGTTCTGGTGGGGAGTTGAAATTTGGGCTGTTAAGATTTTGGTAGAAAACTGCCCAATCTGGCAACCCCTGATGAGAAATTTGAGAAATTTGAAAAAAAAACGTGGGAACAAACTGACTGAGTGAAATTTCTAGATCTCCAGCTCACAGTAGGGGGCGCCGGTGCACTCGTCAACACTGTCAGGCGGACAGTAAGCCTGTCGTTAGCACATGCATGTAGCGCGAGTTAGCACAGCTGAAAAGACCCCACAGAAAAACCAGTGCTGTCAGCTAACGCTAGCATTGCGCTAGCTAGCTTGTGTGGCTTGTGTTGACGATCGTCCTCTGGACATTAAAGGAGTCGGACTGCAGGGATTTGGGGGCGGGGCTAAGAGGTTTAGAGGACCACGAGATTAACAGGTGGCCCCAGACGCGTCTTAGTTACGAGACTAGTCCGCGTGATGAGCGACAGCGACGTTAGCTGCGTTTGCGGCTCGTTTTTCGGAGAAATGCCGGTAAAGTATTTCGTTACTGTCAGACACGCTGGGCTCCTCCTCTGAGCTGTGAGCTCTGAAGGTGACCAGCAGGGGGCGCCGTGCGCTTCTCCTCCCTTTAAATGCTATTCTCGTCCCGTTAGTGCTTCAGATCACACACACACACCGGTTCTCAGACTGTATCGGCTGGCTGTGTGTGTGTGTGTGAGGGTTTGAGGTTCTCTGGTTGATGAAGCTGCTCCGTTCGTTAAAAATGGCACCAAAAATGAAAATATGTAAATATATTTAAATAGCTTTAGGAATTTGTGGTGGTTTTTATGCTGCGTTCAGGAACGCGGGACTTTTTTTACGACCCTCCGGAGCTTCTCGGACGTCTCGGAGAACAGAACAGGAAGTGATAACGTGTTTTACGGCCGTGTGCCGAAGTTTCGTGGGTCCATTTTTACATGTTCTGTTGATCCTGTCAGTGAAAGTGAGTTTAAATGCGGCAGGTTTAGTGTGAAATGTCTGTTTATTCGCTTGGAAAAAAAAAACAAAAATGACATGCGGAGGGTGCCATAACTTTTGCACAGGCCACAGGTGATGCCTTATTTGTTAAGTTTAAGCAAATGAACAGTAAGTGTGTGTTAAAGTGAGCAGAAGTGAGTTTTAAATGAAAAAAAGTGTAAAACTTTGGGGTGCACACACTTTTGCACACGACCGTAAGTGTTTTAAACAGACGTCGGAGTCGCTGTTCATTCGTGATATTGATAAAAAAGATGATGGTAACTGGATTATTGTGAGTTTAAGGCGAAACACTACAGGCTAATTTTTCAATTTTCGGTCCCGTCGATCAAAATTTGAACGATAAATTTGAGAAACTGCATCTTGAACTGTAATCACAAAATTTTAAATCTCCTCAGAAATGTGTGAATATTTCAGCGCGTTTTGTGAATCTAACTCTAATTTCCAAAAGAATAAAATAAGTGAATAAGAATAAATTTGGTGAAGGCTTGGCTCCGCCCACTCTCGCCACAATGATGTCATCGCATACATCACCAAAAAGGAAATTTTCATTTGAATCTAATTAGAACATCCAAATACATCTTTCTTATACACGCTGCACATTTTCTGGGTAATTAGGTTCTTAAAACTGTCGTTTCATCCAGAAGCAAAAATTTTCAAATTCATAAATTTTACCATCTTCATTCCTAACAATATGTTGTTATATTACAAGAAATGATCATAACGTTCATAATATTTTTGGATTTATGATGGATTATGTATTACAAAACGACCTAAAAAACATTTTATAATAACAGTACTTAGAATTTTCATTACTAAATCATAAAATCATGAAATTTCAATACAAATTCGGTTCTCTGGAGCTCATTTTCACAATCAAATGAACATTTTAATCACGACACCATCCAGAAGCTGGATTCTTAGTTTTTAAACATATGCAAATGTATGCACATTTAAGCAAATGCTGCTTCATTTGTATAATTAAAATGTTATTTTCTAGAAAATTCCCAATACCAAAATGACCAGGATGAACATCGGCATCGTGGGTATTATTGTTCATAGGATTTCTAGTTTTTATAGTATTTTAAAAATGTGGCACGATTTTGTTTATTCTGACTGATCAGACGTTAGGAAAGGTAAATATCGTAATGTACCGTTTAGCGTGAAACTTCTCGAAGTACTGCAAAACTATATTTCTGCCATTTCGCCCCTCCGTCTCTACCGATTTAAAACCTTACCCCGTTCAGCTGCAGCGCCTCGCCTTAAAGGTTTTAGCTGCTAAATTAACGATAAATCCACTTTTAAATCGATCAAGCACTAAATAAAAAGCTCCCTAATTGAACTGGAAACGCTTCGTATCGTTAATTTCAGGTGTAAAGTAAGGTTTTACTTTAGGTAAAGTAAGAAAATTCAGAGATTGTACATTTTTGAGGTCGTAAAACTCAGAAATTGTAAAATGTTGAGGTTGTAAAATTCCGAGCTCCCGATTGTCGTGAACGCAGCATGATTCCCTGTAAAGGCCCTGGATTGTGTGTGTGTGTGTGTGTGTGTGTGTGTGTGTGTGTGTTTCCAAACACACACGGTTCCTAAATCACCACCATTAAAGTGACAGTTCAGCCATAATCACATCCCACCAGTTTCCTCCTTGTAGTACTCGATCAGCCGAGACGTCTTCAGTGTCTGAACTTCACTTCTTCAGTTCCAGCGCTGGAGCTACGAGGCTAATGTGGCTAACAAGTAATAGAGGTTTATGTACACCAATTACCAATTACACCTGCAGCCGACTGATCACGTCACGTGGATCACGTGGATCATATGGTTTTATGTACCAAAAAGACAGATATGTGTAAACCAGCTGTGATCTGATTGGCTGTGTTTCATTCAAAAACAGTCTGGGCTAAAAAAAGCCTTATAACTTTAATGTGAATGGGCGGAGCTAAACTGCTATAGGCTGAATGGGCAGGGCTAAACTGCTGTAGGCTGAATGGGCGGGGCTAAACTGCTGTAGGCTAAATGGGCGGAGCTAAACTGCTATAGGCTGAATGGGTGGAGCTAAACCGCTGTAGGCTGAATGGGCGGGGCTAAACTGCTGTAGGCTGAATGGGCAGAGCTAAACTGCTGTAGGCTGAATGGGCGGGGCTAAACTGCTATAGGCTGAATGGGCAGGGCTAAACTGCTGTAGGCTGAATGGGCAGGGCTAAACTGCTGTAGGCTGAATGGGCGGGGCTAAACTGCTGTAGGCTAAATGGGCGGAGCTAAACTGCTATAGGCTGAATGGGTGGAGCTAAACCGCTGTAGGCTGAATGGGCGGGGCTAAACTGCTGTAGGCTGAATGGGCAGAGCTAAACTGCTATAGGCTGAATGGGTGGAGCTAAACCACTGTAGGCTGAATGGGCGGGGCTAAACTGCTGTAGGCTGAATGGGCAGAGCTAAACTGCTATAGGCTGAATAGGTGGAGTTTAACTGTTAGCACCGTGCTAATTGGTGGGCTGTAAGCTTCCTTTCCTTATTAGCTACATTAGCCTCGTAGCTCCAGCGCTGAAACTGCAGAAGTGAACTTCAGACACTAAACAGGCCTCAGCTGGTCCACTGCTTTGGGGTATACAGGGCAGGAAAACTGGGGAAACTTCACTTTTTGCCAAACTATCGCTTTAAACACTCACTCTCTCTCTGGGTGGACACGATTCGCGTGGGCGTCTGGACGGGCACCTGTGGGCAGGTGTGGTCTGAGCTCCATTTCAGCGTCTCTTATAGAACTGAAACAAAACTGAACGCAGTTATTTTTAAGACTTTTCAACATAAATGAATCAAAAGTTTGGGGACACCTCGCTATTCAAAATGTGTTAACTGCAAATTAACACGTTTTCTCTGTCGACTGTAAACAACATATTAAAGACTGAGCGAGTTTATTTATACTATTAAACTACCCACTCGTTCCGCGAGGTTCTTTAGCATCTCCAACAGTGCGGAACACGTGTAAGAACAATATTGAACTAGCTAACGTGGGCTAACAGCTCCTCCTCATGTGGTTGGCTAGCTAGCATAGCTAACACTGATCATGTGTGTTTAGTACTTTAATCAGTGCTCAAAAGCTGCTACGTTCAGGAAAACATAGACCAAAGGCAGCCAACTAGAACATCTTCTGTCATGCAGTTAGCACGCTAGCAAAGCTAATGCTAATGTGTATTTTTTCAGTTTATTACTCAAATCAGAAATTAAAGTCATATTAATGGGAAAACAGGTTGAAGTCAGCACAGCTAATGCTAATCATGTGTATGTTAACACTTAAATCAGTGGTCAAAAGCTGCTACGTTCATGAAAACACAGACCAAATTTAGCTAACAAGAACGTGTTTCGTCATGTATTTAGCTAGCTAGCATAGCTAACGCTGATCATGTGCATTTTTAGAGCTGTTTTCAAATCACAGGTGAAAAACAAACAATTTGCCTTCATAGAAGCCCCTAAACAAGTTCCACTGAACTAACATTGAGTTAGCATTAGCCAAAGTTATTGCTTGCTAACACTGGTTCAACGTTAGTCAACTAGCAACTTCAAACATCCAGAAAAAACAATGCACCTATCCTGTTTTAAGTTTCTCCTATTACCGTTTGACCATTAGCTAAACGGCTACGCTTTAGCATGTTGTTACTGCAAACAGACAAAGAAAACATGCTAATTCCAAAAAGCTCGACGTCCCCAAACCTGGCGCTGAACTGTCTCTCCATTTTCTTGTAGCCAGTAACCACGGGCTTCTATAATCTCTCTCTGGACGTATTGCTCGACGACAAGGTAAGCTCCGCCTCCAAAAGTGAGGTACCCCAGCAACCGCGAATCGTGTCCACCCCCCCTGATGTTTCTCTAAGTGGCGGGGCTAACCCCCTGTTGGCCCCACCCACGCCTGCCCCACCTCAACGTGTTTCTCCTATGAGGTGGAGCCGGCCCCATTGGCCCCACCCATACCGACCCCTCCCATGCCGGCCCCGCCCGCCTGGTCGATGTTGTTGGGTTTGATTGGCGGGTGCTGGTGCTGCAGGGCGTGGCGCTCCAGCAGCGTGCGGTGCGTGAAGGCTCTGTGGCACACGTTGCAGGAGAAGGTGCGCTCCACGCGGTGAGTGCGCATGTGCACGTTCAGCGAGCTCTTCTGGGTGAAGCGCTTAGAACACACGGAGCACTGGAACGCACGGACCCCCTGTGTGGACCACCATGTGCTTCAGGAGGTAATCACGCAGAGAGAAGGAGCGCCAGCAGATGCTGCACTGATGGGGCTTCTGACCTAAACGCCAACACACAAATAAACACTTTCAATAAACAATGAATTTAATACATTAACACACACAACGACGAGACAAAACATTATGACCACCTGCCTAGTATGCTGTCGGTGCCCCACCGAGGCAGGACCTCTGAACGTGCCCTGTGCTCTCTGGCACTAAGACAATCCTTTAAGTCCTGTAAGATGTGAGGTGGAGGCACCACAGATCAGACCTGTTGATCCAGAACATCCCACAGATGCTCCGATTGAGATCTGGGGGGAGTTTGGAGACCAGGGTAGCACCTTGAGCTCCTCACCATGTTCCTCAAACTGTTCCTGAACAGTGTGTGCAGTGTGGCGGTCATTATCCTGTTGAAAGAGGCCACTGTCATTGGGGAACACCATCACCAACAAGGGGAGTACCTGGTCTGTAACAATGTCCACATGAATTCCGGAATCAGAACATCGCCCAGAGTATCCCAGTCCCTCCACCGGCTCGTCTTCCTCCCACAGTGCATACTGGTCTATCACATCCAAGGTACCTGACCATCCACATGATGTAAAAGAGAACGGGACTCATCGGACCAGGCAACCTTCTTCCATCACTCCAAGGTCCAGTTCTCTCGGGTGTCCACTGTAGGTACTTTCCATGGTGGACAGGGTGGGCACTCTGACCAGTCTGCCACTTTGCAGGCCTATATTCAGCAAGCTGCAGTGTACTGTGTGTGACACCTTCCTCCTGTGACCATCATCAAACATTTCCATGATCCACAGTAGCCCTTCTGTCAGTTTGGACCAGACGAAGGGCCTTCGTAGCCGTTGTGCATCGATGAGCCTCAAGTGCCCGACACTGTCGCTGGTTCATGGTTTGTCCCTCCTCTGTCCACTGATGGAAGGTACTCACCACTGCTGACCAGGCCCCACCGTTTCAGAGATGATCCATCGCAGTCAAAGTCTCTCAGGTCTTCAGGCCTGCACACAACTCCAGCATCCATCCATCCACTACCATCTAATATCTCGCAGACCTTCGCAGCACTGCTGTTACCAGACAGCCAACCTTGTTTGCTTCATCTGTGAGTGCTCATAATGTTTTGGCTCATTGGTGTAAATATATCGTCACCGTCCAAAGAAAAACAAGTCTCTACGAAATGGAGATTTAAAGCAGAGAGTAAAAACACTCTTTACTTTTAATGTAAGACAATATAAACAGATTTTACTCCAACTTATTCTGGAGCATCTCTGTTCGTCCATTCATCATGAAATTTTCCAGACAGTGTTTAAACCAGCTGCTGAGCTCAAATGACGCAGAGAAATAAAAATCACAAAAAACTGAGATACTTTTTTGGACAGTGGCGATATACAGAAAGGTGACAAATTAAAGGAATAACCTGATTAAATTAGAGAAACTGGAGAAACACGCAGATTAGAGAAGCACCAAAACTTCGGCCTCTGCTAAATTTCAGACGAAAGCTGAAAGTGTCATTTTCAAAATCTAAGACCTCCAATAAAATGAAAATAAGAAACAATGATTAAAACGTTTCCTCTGCTCTCCTCAACCAGCTCCACCACCATCGACACGACACCTACTGAGGGAACACCTTTTGGAAGAACAGTGTTCCACCCCTCCAGTGCAGTTCCAGCTTCTTACAGATGCTGCGAGAGGGAGCACTGAAGATGTTCTGGTGGCCCAAAACCGGAGCAGGACTAAAACTCACCGGAGTGGATGAACATGTGTTTGCTGTAGTTCTTGCGAGATCGCAGTGATTTCCCGCAGTGGCTGCAGTCGAAGCTCGTCTCTGAACTCTGGGGTGTAAAACTCGGACCCGCGATGCACGGTGGGGCCGGAGGGGGCGGGGCCGGGGTCAGAGGGGCCGGGGGCGGGGCCTGCTGACACGTCTCTGCCATGCTGTCAATCACCATAGGTCCGCCCACAAAGAAGGAGGATGGCTGTGATTCGCTGACGGGATACTGAAAAAGCATCTAGAGGAAAATAAACAAACATACAGATTCAGAAATAATAATAATAATAATAATAATAATAATAACAATAGTATAACAAGAGTGTAACAGGCATAAACACCACAGAGAGATACTAACAGATACTAATTAAGTGATACAAAATCTGTATTCATGAGCTATCAGAATAATAGTAAGTACAAGTTTACCAAAAGTAGATAAACAGCCGGTAAAAATAAACACATTACATACAAAAATACCTTAAATTCATGTAAGCGTTGTTAGACTTTGATGCCTCTGTGAATCATGGGTAAAGGACAAGCAGCACTAACTTTAATTACCTCTCCTCCTGGTTTTAAACGAGCTTTAGGGCAGCTTTTTTGTACTTTTGTTTCATTTAGTTTTCTCGTTGAGTAACCTTCCACCGTTAGTTGTTCTGTTTATTACGTTGGGCGTACGCTCGCCTCCGAAGCTTCATTTCCTAAAGCTAAACATCTTGAGACGTTTTAAACCTCAGGAGCCGCTGATCGTGCCGGCGTGATCAAATCCCACAGCTGGTTCAAAATGTTGCAGCATAAAGGTCGTGAAAGTGCTGCCTTGAAACACTACACTAGTTTTTGTCTGATGTTCAGAGACCAAGTAAAAACAGGTAGGAGGACATAAATTTGGTATGTAAATCATATTCATGCATAAACGTAGAATGGGACGGGGCTGGCGCTGCATCTAACGTCATAATACCTTCATAATTTTTTTGTTGTAACGCGTTTCCATCAAGAATTTGATGCTTATTGAGTATGGGAATGGCATATGGGAATGGCACATGGGAATGGTGTATGGGAATGGTATATGGGAATCAGTGTGGGAATGGTACAAGGGAATCAGTAAGGGAAAGGCATATGGGAATGACGTATGGGAATCTGCATGGGAATGGTGTGTGGGAATGGTGTATGGGAATCAGTAAGGGGATGGCATATGGGAATGGCATATGGGAATGGCGTATGGGAATGGTGTATGGGAATCAGTGTGGGAATGGTACAAGGGAATCAGTAAGGGAAAGGCATATGGGAATGGCGTATGGGAACGGTGTATGGGAATTAGTATGGGAATTAGTATGGGAATCAGTGTGGGAATGGTGTATGGAAATCAGTATGGAAATGGCATATGGGAATCAATATGGGAATGGCATATGGGAATCAATATGGGAATGGCGTATGGGAATCAGTATTGGAATGGCATATGGGAATCAGTATAGAAATGGCATATGGGAATCGGTATAGGAATGGCACATGGGAATCAGTATGGTAATGGCATAAGGGAATGGTGTATGGAATCGGCGTAAGGGACTCAGTATGGGAATGATGTAAAGGACTCAGAATGTCCTTTGTAAGGGAATTAGTATGGTAATGGCATATGAGAATTAGTATGGGAATGGCATCTGAGAATCAGTATGGGAATGGCGTATGCGAATCAGTATGGGAATGATGTAAGGGACTCAGTATGGGAATGATGTAAGGGACTCAGAATGGGAATGGTGTATGGGAATCAGTATGGGAATGGCGTCTGAGAATCAGTATGGGAATGGCGTAAGGGACTCAGTATGGGAAGATGTAAGGGACTCAATATGGGAATGATGTAAGGGACTCAATATGGGAATGGTGTAAGGGAATCAGTATGGGAATGGCATAAGGGAATGGTGTATGGAATCGGCATAAGGGACTCAGTATGGGAATGATGTAAGGGACTCAGAATGGGAATGATGTGAGGGAATCAGTATGGGAATGACGTATGGGAATTAGTATGGGAGTGGCGTATGGGAATTAGTATGGTAATGGCATATGAGAATTAGTATGGGAATGGCGTCTGAGAATCAGTATGGGAATGGCGTATGAGAATCAGTATGGGAATAGCGTAAGGGACTCAGTATGGGAATGATGTAAGGGACTCAATATGGGAATGATGTAAGGGACTCAGAATGGGAATGGTGTATAGGAATCAGTATGGGAATGGCGTAAGGGACTCAATATGGGAATGATGTAGGGACTCAGAATGGGAATGGCGTATGGGAATCAGTATGGGAATGGCGTATGGGAATCAGTATCGAATGACGTATGGGAATGGCGTAAGAGACTCAATATGGGAATAATGTAAGGGACTCAGAATGGGAATGTGTAAGGGAATCAGTATGGGAATGGCGTATGGGAATCAGTATGGGAATGGCGTCTGAGAATCAGTATGGGAATGGTGCAAGGGACTTAGTATGGGAAGATGTAAGGGACTCAATATGGGAATGATGTAAGGGACTCAGAATGGGAATGGTGTAAGGGAATCAGTATGGGAATGGTGTAAGGGAATCAGAATGGGAATGGCGTCTGAGAATCAGTATGGGAATGGCTTAAGGGACTCAGTATGGGAAGATGTAAGGGACTCAATATGGGAATGATGTAAGGGACTCAGAATGGGAATGGTGTAAGGGAATCAGTATGGGAATGGCGTATGGGAATCAGTATGGGAATGGTGTAAGGGACTCAGAATGGGAATGGCGTATGGGAATCAGTATGGGAATGGCGCAAGGGACTCAATATGGGAATGATGTAAGGGACTCAGAATGGGAATGGCGTAAGGGAATCAGTATGGGAATGGCGTATGGAAATCAGTATGGGAATGGCGTATGGGAATCAGTATTGGAATGGCATATGGGAATCAGTATAGAAATGGTGTATGGGAATCAGTATAGGAATGGCACATGGGAATCAGTATGGTAATGGCATAAGGGAATGGTGTATAGAAATCGGCATAAGGGACTCAGTATGGGAATGATGTAAGGGACTCAGAATGGGAATGGTGTAAGGGAATCAGTATGGGAATGATGTATGGGAATTAGTATGGGAGTGGCGTATGGGAATTAGTATGGTAATGGCATATGAGAATTAGTATGGGAATGGCGTCTGAGAATCAGTATGGGAATGGCGTATGAGAATCAACATGGGAATAATGTAAGGGACTCAGAATGTGAATGGTGTAAGGGAATCAGTATGGGAATGGCGTATGGGAATGGTGTAAGGGACTCAATATGGGAATGATGTAAGGGACTCAGAATGGGAATGGCGTATGGGAATCAGTATGGGAATGGCATATGGGAATCAGTATGGGAATGGTGTAAGGGACTCAGAACGGGAATGGCGTACGGGAATCAGTATGGGAATGGCGCAAGGGACTCAATATGGGAATGATGTAAGGGACTCAGAATGGGAATGGCGTATGGGAATCAGTATGGGAATGGCATATCGGAATCAGTATGGGAATGGCGTATGGGAATCAGTATTGGAATGCGTAAGGGACTCAATATGGGAATGATGTAAGGGACTCAGAATGGGAATGGCGTAAGGGAATCAGTATGGGAATGGCGTATGGAAATCAGTATGGGAATGGCGTATGGGAATCAGTATTGGAATGGCATATGGGAATCAGTATAGAAATGGCGTATGGGAATCAGTATAGGAATGGCACATGGGAATCAGTATGGTAATGGCATAAGGGAATGGTGTATGGAATTGGCATAAGGGACTCAGTATGGGAATGATGTAAGGGACTCAGAATGGGAATGATGTGAGGGAATCAGTATGGGAATGACGTATGGGAATTAGTATGGGAGTGGCGTATGGGAATTAGTATGGTAATGGCATATGAGAATTAGTATGGGAATGGCGTCTGAGAATCAGTATGGGAATGGCGTATGAGAATCAGTATGGGAATAGCGTAAGGGACTCAGTATGGGAATGATGTAAGGGACTCAATATGGGAATGATGTAAGGGACTCAGAATGGGAATGGTGTAAGGGAATCAGTATGGGAATGGCGTATGGGAATTAGTATGGGAATGGTGTAAGGGACTCAGAATGGGAATGGTGTATAGGAATCAGTATGGGAATGGCGTAAGGGACTCAATATGGGAATGATGTAAGGGACTCAGAATGGGAATGGCGTATGGGAATCAGTATGGGAATGGCGTATGGGAATCAGTATCGGAATGACGTATGGGAATGGCGTAAGAGACTCAATATGGGAATAATGTAAGGGACTCAGAATGGGAATGTGTAAGGGAATCAGTATGGGAATGGCGTATGGGAATCAGTATGGGAATGGCGTCTGAGAATCAGTATGGGAATGGCGCAAGGGACTTAGTATGGGAAGATGTAAGGGACTCAATATGGGAATGATGTAAGGGACTCAGAATGGGAATGGTGTAAGGGAATCAGTATGGGAATGGTGTAAGGGAATCAGAATGGGAATGGCGTCTGAGAATCAGTATGGGAATGGCTTAAGGGACTCAGTATGGGAAGATGTAAGGGACTCAATATGGGAATGATGTAAGGGACTCAGAATGGGAATGGTGTAAGGGAATCAGTATGGGAATGGCGTATGGGAATCAGTATGGGAATGGTGTAAGGGACTCAGAATGGGAATGGCGTATGGGAATCAGTATGGGAATGGCGCAAGGGACTCAATATGGGAATGATGTAAGGGACTCAGAATGGGAATGGCGTAAGGGAATCAGTATGGGAATGGCGTATGGAAATCAGTATGGGAATGGCGTATGGGAATCAGTATTGGAATGGCATATGGGAATCAGTATAGAATGGCGTATGGGAATCAGTATAGGAATGGCACATCGGAATCAGTATGGTAATGGCATAAGGGAATGGTGTATAGAAATCGGCATAAGGGACTCAGTATGGGAATGATGTAAGGGACTCAGAATGGGAATGGTGTAAGGGAATCAGTATGGGAATGATGTATGGGAATTAGTATGGAGTGGCGTATGGGAATTAGTATGGTAATGGCATATAAGAATTAGTATGGGAATGGCGTCTGAGAATCAGTATGGGAATGGCGTATGAGAATCAATATGGGGAATAATGTAAGGGACTCAGAATGTGAATGGTGTAAGGGAATCAGTATGGGAATGGCGTATGGGAATGGTGTAAGGGACTCAATATGGGAATGATGTAAGGGACTCAGAATGGGAATGGCGTATGGGAATCAGTATGGGAATGGCATATGGGAATCAGTATGGGAATGGTGTAAGGGACTCAGAATGGGAATGGCGTACGGGAATCAGTATGGGAATGGCGCAAGGGACTCAATATGGGAATGATGTAAGGGACTCAGAATGGGAATGGCGTAAGGGAATCAGTATGGGAATGGCGTATGGAAATCAGTATGGGAATGGCGTATGGGAATCAGTATTGGAATGGCATATGGGAATCAGTATAGAAATGGCGTATGGGAATCAGTATAGGAATGGCACATCGGAATCAGTATGGTAATGGCATAAGGGAATGGTGTATAGAAATCGGCATAAGGGACTCAGTATGGGAATGATGTAAGGGACTCAGAATGGGAATGGTGTAAGGGAATCAGTATGGGAATGATGTATGGGAATTAGTATGGGAGTGGCGTATGGGAATTAGTATGGTAATGGCATATAAGAATTAGTATGGGAATGGCGTCTGAGAATCAGTATGGGAATGGCGTATGAGAATCAATATGGGAATAATGTAAGGGACTCAGAATGTGAATGGTGTAAGGGAATCAGTATGGGAATGGCGTATGGGAATGGTGTAAGGGACTCAATATGGGAATGATGTAAGGGACTCAGAATGGGAATGGCGTATGGGAATCAGTATGGGAATGGCATATGGGAATCAGTATGGGAATGGTGTAAGGGACTCAGAATGGGAATGGCGTACGGGAATCAGTATGGGAATGGCGCAAGGGACTCAATATGGGAATGATGTAAGGGACTCAGATGGGAATGGCGTATGGGAATCAGTATGGGAATGGCATATCGGAATCAGTATGGGAATGGCGTATGGGAATCAGTATTGGAATGCGTAAGGGACTCAATATGGGAATGATGTAAGGGACTCAGAATGGGAATGGCGTAAGGGAATCAGTATGGGAATGGCGTATGGAAATCAGTATGGGAATGGCGTATGGGAATCAGTATTGGAATGGCATATGGGAATCAGTATAGAAATGGCGTATGGGAATCAGTATAGGAATGGCACATGGGAATCAGTATGGTAATGGCATAAGGGAATGGTGTATGGAATCGGCATAAGGGACTCAGTATGGGAATGATGTAAGGGACTCAGAATGGGAATGATGTGAGGGAATCAGTATGGGAATGACGTATGGGAATTAGTATGGGAGTGGCGTATGGGAATTAGTATGGTAATGGCATATGAGAATTAGTATGGGAATGGCGTCTGAGAATCAGTATGGGAATGGCGTATGAGAATCAGTATGGGAATAGCGTAAGGGACTCAGTATGGGAATGATGTAAGGGACTCAATATGGGAATGATGTAAGGGACTCAGTATGGGAATGGTGTAAGGGAATCAGTATGGGAATGGCGTATGGGAATTAGTATGGGAATGGTGTAAGGGACTCAGAATGGGAATGGTGTATAGGAATCAGTATGGGAATGGCGTAAGGGACTCAATATGGGAATGATGTAAGGGACTCAGAATGGGAATGGCGTATGGGAATCAGTATGGGAATGGCGTATGGGAATCAGTATCGGAATGACTTATGGGAATGGCGTAAGAGACTCAATATGGGAATAATGTAAGGGACTCAGAATGGGAATGTGTAAGGGAATCAGTATGGGAATGGCGTATGGGAATGGTGTAAGGGACTCAGAATGGGAATGGCGTATGGGAATCAGTATGGGAATGGCATATGGGAATCAGTATGGGAATGGCGTATAGGAATCAGTATTGGAATGCGTAAGGGACTCAATATGGGAATGATGTAAGGGACTCAGAATGGGAATGGCGTATGGGAATCAGTATGGGAATGGCGTATGGAAATCAGTATGGGAATGGCGTATGGGAATCAGTATTGGAATGGCATATGGGAATCAGTATAGAAATGGCGTATGGGAATCAGTATAGGAATGGCACATGGGAATCAGTATGGTAATGGCATAAGGGAATGGTGTATGGAATCGGCATAAGGGACTCAGTATGGGAATGATGTAAGGGACTCAGAATGGGAATGGTGTAAAGGAATCAGTATGGGAATGACGTATGGGAATTAGTATGGTAATGGCATATGAGAATTAGTATGGGAATGGCGTCTGAGAATCAGTATGGGAATGGCGTAAGGGACTCAGTATGGGAATGATGTAAGAGACTCAATATGGGAATGATGTAAGGGACTCAGAATGGGAATGGTGTAAGGGAATCAGTATGGGAATGGCGTATGGGAATTAGTATGGGAATGGTGTAAGGGACTCAGAATGGGAATGGTGTATAGGAATCAGTATGGGAATGGCGTAAGGGACTCAATATGGGAATGATGTAAGGGACTCAGAATGGGAATGGCGTATGGGAATCAGTATGGGAATGGCGTATGGGAATCAGTATCGGAATGACGTATGGGAATCAGTATGGGAATGGTGTAAGGGACTCAGAATAGGAATGGCGTATGGGAATCAGTATGGGAATGGCGTAAGGGACTCAATATGGGAATGATGTAAGGGACTCAGAATGGGAATGGCGTATGGGAATCAGTATGGGAATGGCGTATGGGAATCAGTATGGGAATGGCATATGGGAATCAGTATGGGAATGGTGTAAGGGAATCAGTATGGGAATGGTGTAAGGGAATCAGTATGGGAATGGTGTAAGGGAATCAGTATGGGAATGGCGTATGGGAATCAGTATGGGAATGGTGTAAGGGAATCAGTATGGGAATGGCGTATGGGACAATAGCAGCCCAGCATCGCCCAAACACTCTGCTCTGCCAGAGTACAATAAATCATCATCAAATATGATAACAGTAATAACCCGAAAATACATTTCCTGAAGAAAACGCAGAGTAACTGCAACTTGAGCATTTTCCCAGGTGGTTGTTAAGGTGTCGACAGATTATAGTAATTTATGTGGCTTCCAGGGTGCTGCAAACTGGTGCTATGGGGTGTCTGGTGGTGGCTCCATGGTTGCTATCCTATCTCTGGTGGTTAATAATTACAATATGACATAAATCATATTTAACCAAACATCTGCCAACACCTATACGATTCCGATGTCGCTGTTCTATCCCTTACTATTCGGTTTCTCAGAATGTGGTGAAGAGCAGCAGAGCCAAACACACCTGGTTGTTGATGTTGTGAGAGGAAGTGGGCGGAGACAGCGGCTTGTTGCTGCGGGAACGGGGGTTAGCCACCAGAGTCTGAGACGCGTCCGCCTGTGGCCAAAAGCCTCCAGCGAACACGGCCTGCTCTTCATAAAAGCCACCCTGGAACACACAGACACAGACAGTCGTGAGCAAAAGTTTCTGCGCCCTGATCAAATTCCACAATGTGAATGATTTAACACGTCCTCTACAGAGTCTCACTACTGCACAGTTTAATACACACTCACTGTTTACGTACTGGACCTAACACACTGGGAGAAAAACAAAGTGTGTGTGTGTGTGTTACCTGTCCGTACGCAGATTGGTGTGAGTTGTCGTGAGTATCACGTCGCTCCTCCAGATCAAACAGATTGTCTCCTTCCTGAACACCTTCATCCTTCACGACCACCTGCTCACCTCCCAGCACCTGCACATACAGACCAACAGGTAAAGCTCGCTGACATTAACTGCTTGAGTGGTGGAGCTAATCTGCTGTAGCTGAATGGTGGAGCTAAACTGCTGTAGCTGAATGGTGGAGCTAAACTGCTGTAGCTGAATGGTGGAGCTAAACTGCTGTAGCTGAATGGTGGAGCTAAACTGCTGTAGCTGAATGGTGGAGCTAAACTGCTGTAGCTGAATGGTGGAGCTAAACTGCTGTAGCTGAATGGTGGAGCTAAACTGCTGTAGACTGAATGGTGGAGCTAAACTGCTGTAGCTGAATGGTGGAGCTAAACTGCTGTAGCTGAATGGTGGAGCTAAACTGCTGTAGCTGAATGGTGGAGCTAAACTGCTGTAGCTGAATGGGTGGAGCTAAACTGCTGTAGCTGAATGGGTGGGGCTGAACTGCTGTAGGCTGTGTATGTATATACACACATACACACATTATATATGCTATATAAGTGTGTGTTTGTGTTACAGACCTGCAGTCGTAGTGGCTGCCTCTGTTTCCGGCTATGCCCTACTCCTCTCTCTCTCTCTCCATCCCTCTCTCTCTCCTCCACATCCTCTTCCTCATTAAATCTCTCCATTCCAACCGTCAGCTCCTCAACAAACTCCGCCCCCCCATTACCACGGAGACCGTCTCTGCCCATCACCGTGGGAGCAGGGGTGTTCATATGGGCTCTTCCTGGATCAGACATGTTCTGGTTCTGGCTCTGATTCTGTCCTCCTGCACCGATTTAGGAAAGTCAGAATCAATCTTATATTATTATTATTATTAAAATATATTCAAATATGCAATTTAAGCTGCAACAATTATTCATTTATTGAAAACCATTTTAATCCTGGAAATAAATTTCAATAAAGTGGACTGTTTACATACTAGTGCATATAAATATTCATATGACCCACACAGTCGTTCTGACAGACTGTAATACACTACAGGAAGTGTAGGGGGCGATATGGCTTCTACTGTTCCATTTAAAAAGCTCTATAATGTTCATATGATCCACACGGTCACTCTGACAGACTGTAATACTCTACAGGAAGTGTAGGGGGCGATATGCAGTCATCCTGCCTCTTACCACTGCTATCATCCTTGGACCTCACCCTCAGCCAGACTCCTCCAACACACAGTGCAGGCAACGCTCTGGACCTGATATTCAGCAGACCTACCTCAGCGCTGCTCTGCTCACCACTTTCTATCTTTCACACGCTCCCTCCCTGCCACTCCTGTCCACATCACCCTTTCATGCTCTTCTACTCGACGCAACCTGCACTCTATTCCTCCTCATCTTCAACTATCCTGACCACCCTTCCCCATCCTGACTCCTTTTCTTCTCTCTCACTGGACACAGCTACAGATGTTTTTGACTTTCTGTGTCCTCTCTCCTCCAGGCCAGCTAGATCCTCCCCACCTGCCCCCTGGCTGACAGGTGTCCTGCGCAGCAACTGGCAAGAGCTAAGGAAGCCTGAGAGAAGGTGGAGGAAATCCCAGCTTGACTGGAATCTTCACTCCTACCAATCTCTCCTTTCCAAGTTCTCACTTGAAGTCACTGCTGCAAAGTCATCTTTCTACAGAGGGAAACTGGAAGTATCAGCATCTGATCCACACAAGCCTTTCAGCATTTTCTCCTCTCTCCTCAACCCTCCTCCTCCCCTTCCTCCCTCCCTCTTCTCTCACTCCTGAGGATTCTGTCACCTTCTTTGAGGAGAAGGTTAACAGAATCCGCCAGTCTTTTCCTCTGTCTCCACTCCTTCCACTAGACCTTCTCCTCTCGTTCTCAATCCCTTAACCTGTTTTTCTTCTCTTTCCACAGATGCTGTCCTTCAACTGATCAAATCCACTAATCCAACCACCTGCCCACTGGATCCCATCCCACCCACATTGCTCCAGTCAATCTCCATGGATCTACTGACGTTCATCACCTTTCTCATAAACAACTCCTTATCATCAGGTCAAGTTTCATCAACTTTCAAGACTACAAGAGTAGTTAACATCCTGAAGAAGCCCATGCTTGACAGCTACAGACACAGTATCACTCCTTTCTTTCCTTTCAAAAATTCCTTCCGAGAGTCTATGATCAACTGTCTCTCTTTCTTATGCAGAACCAGCTCCAGGACCCCAACCAGTCTGGCTTCAAACCGGCGCACTCAACAGAAACTGCCTTTATAGCAGTGACAGAGAAGCTCCAGGCAGCAAGATCAGCCAAACTGTCATCTGTTCTGATTCTGCTTGACCTCTCAGCAGCTTTGGACACGGTCAACCACACAATCCTTCTGGACGTCCTCACCAACCTTGGAATCACCGGCTCTGCGTGGAAATGGTTTGAGTCCTATCTGGAGAGCGTTCAGCAGGTAACATGGAGAGGGTCCACATCCTCTCCAAGCAGGCTCTCCACTGGTGTCCCACAAGGCTCTGTGCTGTGTCCTCTTCTCTTTTCTCTTTACACTCGTTCTGTTGGTGATGTAATATCCTCTCATGGCTTCTCTTATCACTGTTATGCTGATGACACTCAACTAATGCTTTCCTTCCCACCTGTCGCATCTCAGCAGGTCTGACTGACGTCTCTTCACGGATGGCAGCTCAGCACCTGAAGCTCAATCCTAGCAAGACTGAGCTGCTACTTATCCCTGCAACTACAGGTCCTCATCATGATCTCACCATCTCATTTGAGAACTCTCTGATTGTTCCGTCTGAAGAAGCAAGAAGTCTTGGTGTGATTCTGGATGGCCAGTTATCGTTCTCAGCTCAAATCGCAAACCTGACTCGGTCATGCAGGTTTCTCCTGTACAACATCTGGAGGATCCGACCTTTTCTCACTCGAGAGGCCACCCAGGTGCTCGTTCAGTCCCTTGTCATCTCAAGGCTTGACTGCTGCAACTCGATCTTGGCTGGTCTTCCTATGTGGCCACCAAGCCTCTGCAACTGATCCAGAATGCATGGCTCTTCTTCAATCTCCCCAAGTTCAGCCACGTCACTCCACTGCTGCGCTCCCTTCACCGGCTTCCTCTAGCTGCATGCATCAGATTTAAAACCCTGATTCCTACAAAGCCAAAAATAGACCAGCCCCTCCTGACGGGAATGGTCAAAACTCGAACTGTACCTCGAGCCCTTCGAGTTTTGAGTACAGCTCGGCTTGACCCGCCATCCTTCAAGACTCGTGGAAGACGAGCATCAAGCCTTTTCTCTGTCCTGGCGCCCAGGTGGTGGAACGACCTCCCACTGACTGTCCGAACAGCGAAGTCTCTCGCTGTCTTCAAACGCAGACCGAAGACCGTCTCTTTATACAGCACTTTAGTGAGCACTAATATAAGTACTTATTGTACTGTATTGTATTGCACTGCTCTGTGTTTAACTCTGTTCCTGTTTCTCTGGGTATCAACAGGGACTTCTGTTTCTAGCAGTATCTGAGCTCAGGACTGTCTTTCTCTCTAACCTATTGGTAACGAGCAAAGATACTTTCTCCAGATAGACAAAGCACTTTCTGTAAGTCGCTCTAGATAAGAGCGTCTGCTAACGCTGAAAATGTAAATATGGCTTCTATTTTTTCATTTAAAAAGCCAGCATAGATTACTCAGTTGTAGGAATAGTTGTTAGCCATATGAATTGCGATATCCCAGCCTCACCTGCGCTGCTTCGTTCCGCGTTCTGGTTCAGCATGTAGTTGATCTCCTGAGTGCAACTGGTGGGTTTCATCATAGCCCCACCTCCAGGCGCTCCAAGCCCCTCCCCCCGGCCCAGCAAATCGCCCAGCGGTGGCATTATTCCATCCAATCCGGAGGAGTCTGGCTGACCCCCCCCACCCATAGGTTGAGGGTCCGGCAGACCCGGAGCTGACCCCACCCCCGCCCCACAGTCACCTATGGGGTAACTATATCCCTGCAAAGCGCCGGGGCCAACTCCGCCCACGTTTCCCACGCTCTCACGCCCCTTGCCGCCCCCCTGCTCCTCTTGTTTGGGCATGGCGGCCCCCAGTGGCCGTTTCTGGGATATGATCTGCGTGCACTCGTCGATGACGGTCTTGATCTGCAGGATGCTGGCGGCGGTCAGTATACAGAGCGCCTGCGAGTGGAGCACCACCAGAGAGCCGCTGTACATGAAGTCCACCAGCTGCTTCACCGTCTCCGCGGGAACCAGCGGCGGCACCGAGATCTCAGAGTGGCCGAGCAGCAGCTTGTCCTGGAAGAAGGGGCTGGCGGCGGCCAGGACGCAGGCGTGGGCACGCAGCGAGGCGTCGTGGATCCGCACCGTCACGTCACAGAACAGGCCCTTACGCCGCTGAGTGCGCAGAGCCTCCAGCACCGACTGGCTGGCGTTGTGCAGATGGATGTAATGAACCGTCTCAGAGCCCGACGACATGGCAGGAACACAGGAACGCAAGATCAACCTAAACAAACACAAACAACAACAGTAAACAGATAATATCAGCACAGAAACTGACACCAAAGAAGCTGCTTACGACTGTTTATATTCTGGATACTGAATAATTCATAGTAGATACTGAATAATTCATAGTAGATACTGAATAATTCATAGTAGACACTGAATAATTCATAGTAGATGCTGAATAATTCATAGAAGATACTGAATAATTCATAGTAGACGCTGAATAATTCATAGTAGACGCTGAATAATTCATAGTGGATACTGAATAATTCATAGTAGATGCTGAATAATTCATAGTAGACACTGAATAATTCATAGTAGATGCTGAATAATTCATAGAAGATACTGAATAATTCATAGTAGACGCTGAATAATTCATAGTGGATACTGAATAATTCATAGTAGATGCTGAATAATTCATAGTAGACACTGAATAATTCATAGTAGATGCTGAATAATTCATAGTAGATACTGAATAATTCATAGTGGATACTGAATAATTCATAGTAGATACTGAATAATTCATAGAAGATACTGAATAATTCATAGAAGATGCTGAATAATTCATAGTGGATACTGAATAATTCACAGTAGATACTGAATAATTCATAGAAGATACTTAATAATTTGTAGTAGATACTGAACATTGAATAGTAGTTACTGAATACTTTAAAGTAGATACTGATTGGCTGTTTATATACAAGGTAATAAATAATTCATAATACCTACTGAATAATGAGTAATATTAATTTATAGACCAGAATAATCAGTTAAGTAACTGCTGACTGACTTCACTGGACTGATCAGTACTGCCGCATGTATGCTGCATATTTTGCATATACATTACATTACTTCTGTGTCTCTAGTTTATTCTGTATTGTTTATTTATTATTATTAATAATAATAATAATAATAGTAATAGTCTTAATTTTTATAGCCCCTTCCATACGTTAAAATGCAGCTCAAAGTGCTTTACAGTAAAAACAACAGAGTCAAAAAGGTCATCAAAATATAACAATAACAAATAATAACAATCTAATAAATTGGTAATAACAGAAAAGGGGCTGTAATATTAATAATAATGAAAATTTAAATGTGTTTACTGTGTCTGTCTGTTGTCTGTTGTCCACTGTTATGTCTGCATGTCCTCGTCTGAGTGTTTATGTGCCACAGAAGCAGCGTGAACGTGTTCAGTTATTCTGCACTGCTGAATATGCATAATGACCATGAAGCTAAGGTTATTAATCAGTTATAGATCCTGATATAGATGTGCAGATATAGATCACTGATATCACAGGAGCTTTATGACCGATCCGTGACTCAGAGCTGGACTTTAAGGGGTTAAACTGGAACAGTATCTTTACTGTGAGACACACTTTACATACAAACACGGACAAGTTTGTTAAGTGTTCCCGCTGCGTTTGCATATTAATGAGTATGTAAATGACGATAACGAGCGACTGAGCTGTGTTTGTTATGAACGTGAAGCAGCTCTGCGGCAGACAGACAGACAGACAGACAGACAGACAGACTGACTGACAGACAGACAGATATGAGGAAGAGGAGGATGAGGACGAAGAGGAGCGTCTCTCCTGCAGCGGAACTCGCGCGCTGCTCGGATCCGCGCGTGATAGAGAGATCAGAGGTGAGTATTGATTATTGATCGGTACCTGAGAGAGCAGAGCTGAGTGACCAGCGCTGTAAACTCCGCCTAAACCGCACAGCCGGGCGCGCGCATGACCAGAACCGGGGCAGAACCGGAGCGCGCGAGCAGAACCGAACAGAGAGAAAGAGATAGAGAGAGATAGAGAGATAAAGGGAGAGAGAGAGAGGGAAAGAGAGGGAGGCTGTTTTTCTCTCCAGCTTTCTGTTTCTGCAGGAGCTGCTGACGGGGCGCAGCTACGGAGAAACTACGGGGGCCCTGCTGGGACAGAGCGCTCACGGACACGCGCCAAAATAAAAGTCCTCACTCACATACACACGCGCGCATGAAGGCTGCAATAAAATAAAATAAAATAAAGAAAATAATAAAAGTCCTCACTCCAACGAAAGGAGGCTGGAATAAAATGTAAAAATTATTAATAAAAATATTAATAAATATTTTAAATAAAAAATACAAATAAATAAAAATAAAACAAAATTCATTATTGCACCTCTTTTATTATACATTTTAAAGATTTTGTCATGTTTTATTACTTTTCCATTACAAATGTGATGTTTTTGTATAATTTTAACACCATGTAGCTTAACTCGGTGAAAAAGCCTCAGCTGAATTATATGTACAGTAACATAAATAAAGATGTTGATGATGCTGCTGCTGCTGATTATTATTATTATTATTATTATTATTATTATTATTTATCACTGAATTAAATTCATGCATCATTGCACTTCAGTGCATCATCTGCGTTACACATTACTACAGCTTATTCTGCACCATTTAAACCAGAAAACTGCAGGTTTATTTTCTTCAAAGGCTCAATAGCGAGTTTGGGAATAAACATCAAAATAAACAAAACAACTAATGCTTTTAAAGTAAACCTGGAAAGAAAATGAAACGAAAATACAAAAAGGTACTCTAACTAACTCCCTGCATTAAAGACAGGAGAGAAGGTAACCAAACAAATGACTCTCATCCTCTACTTTCACCAAGACTAGAGTGACCAGACGTCCCCATTTTCTGGGGACAGTCCCCTGGAGCACAGGTCTCTCTTTACTGCCAAAATATTTAATACGAATATGAATTATGGGCTCATCAACCTCTGAATTCATCTGTGGTAAACGTGTCTCTGCCTCGTCCCTGCCTCGTCCCCGCCTCGTCCCCGCCTGAGCCGCTGGACTTACTGACTTTTGAGGCCCTTTTATTCAGCAACCTTATTTCTAAAAAGAAACAAGTGACAAATCTCACAAGAAACATAAATCTTTCACAGGACTGTTGTAATTTATTCTCATGCATGCTACGTTAACACCAGTCTCAGTCAGCAGCTCCTCTGGCAGCAGCGTCTCACTCTCTCTCCTCTCAGGCAGGAGTGAGTGAATGTGGTTACAGCAGTAATGATTGTGTTGGGTGGTCCTGAAATCTACTGAACCTCTGTAGTTTGACCATTTTCTTTACTGAGTGTTCCACAGTTTACCTGCTCCACTCACTGTAGTAGCTGTAACTCTGGGAGAGCAGAGACGGGATGCAGGTGCAAGTCCTTGTCTTTTTTACTGAAAATCCACAAAGGTGACCAAATAATGCACTACTGAACAAATACTGAAACAGAAGAAAACCAAAGACAAAGGGACATAAAGAGAATGAGAGGTCACCAACACAGGGCCTGAGAGACCAAAACACCAGGCAAACACAAAGCACACAATCAAGGGTTTAAATACACACAGAACAGACCAGACACACCTTACGAGAGGGCAGAGCTACAGACAACAGACAGGTGAGACAGACAACAAGAAGGCAGAACCGGGGAGGAGACAAAGACCAAACAACAACAAAAGCACATGGAACAAGAGAACAAAGGCTGAAACAGAGACAGACGAGGACAGGGCCAGACAGGATGTTACAGCAGCTACTGTGTGATTTTCTGACATGGTTTGCACAGTTACTTCAGCTGGGCCCACCGGCCTGATTGGCTTCGAGGACCTGACTGACGCCACATCGCACCAACTGCTCGGCTGCTTGGGTGACGCTGCTCTGCAGCTATGAGGCTGCCTGGACTGGTGCTGTTCAACGGCAGGAAAATGCTGCCCCTGCATGACTAAGAACATGTTTGGCCTTGGAGTTGTGGAGTGATAAAGAGGTTTGTTTGGTGTCTGTGCAGCCAGCGTGTGATGAAGACTTTGGGCCTCGTTCTCCAGTCTCTTCCTAAGTCTGTTCTTAAGTGTGTTCCTGATAAAGATCCTAAGAGAACGTCCCCGTCAGATTCATGACATGTTCTTAAAGCGCAGAACTGTTCTCACCTCTGTGCTCTTGAGTTGACTTACCTCAGAACAAATCCCACATAGAGAACACTGGAGAATCAGAGTCAGAGTCTAAACTGCGTCGGTGGGTTTAAGTAGGAATTTCTTCTTAAGAGCGGTTGGAGAACGAGGCCCAGTACTCGGCCCTTGCGATCGCTGTCGTCCATTTGCGGTGAAAGCACCGCTGCCGATCCTCCGACTCTAGTAGGAACAAATATCTAGGAACCAAAAAAAGAGCGTACTGTTTCACAGTACTCGGTTCTCTTTGGGAATACAGTTAAACTTCACTCAACTGCGTTGCGTCACCAACGTTCGCGCTGCCTCCTGGCGCAGGAACATCTCCAGCTCTCGCTGAAAATGAAGGAATTTGGGCCGTTTTGTAGCGTCGCATTGCTCCCAGTGTGAACGCAGGGTAAAGAAGGTGAGGGCTGCATGTTCTAGCTCAGTGTTCCTCAGTCCTGGAGGCTCAATAATGGGCTGTTAAGGAGCTGATCAGTTGGATCAGGTGTGTTCAGAGGAGCAGTGGGCCTCCAGATTGCGAGGGCATCAGAGCGACTCTTGTAATCTTCGAGACCCTAAGATGGTTTGCTGGGAGAAAAGGACCAAAGCTGAATGTCAATGCTGGAAAAGGCTGAGCACTTCTCACCGTAGACGCCTCAAAGCCGTAATCACCTACCAACTTGTTCAAGGGTTCTTTAGTAGAGACAGTGGTTCTGCATAGAACCATGAACACCTCTACAACCATTTGTATGCATAAATGGTTCTGTGCATGGTGAGATTGTTCCTCAGAGTGAAAATGATTCAATATAGTACCAAAAAGTGTTCTTCTGTTGTTACAAGCTTGATATCGTAACAACAGCAGAACCCTTTTTGGTGCTATATAGAACCATATACATCACGCTCTCCATCCATCTGAAGAACCACTTCATGATGCAAATAACCATTTAAGCATGCAAACGGTTCTTGGAGTGTTCAAGGTTCTGTACAGGAGCACTGTCTGTATTTAAGAACCCTTAAAGAGCCTTTTTTAACAGTGTACTCTATGTGGCTGTTTCTTTCTTGTGCAGTTTGAGGTACCGTTTGAGCGAGATGGACTGGATAAAGTGCTTCCCGCAGTGCGAGCACTCGTGCAGCCATAGTGACTTGGCGCAGGACAGAACCTTCCCGCAGTCTGAGCGGGTCGCCAGCACCTCGGACCTCGGCCAGCCTGGTTGTGCGACGGCACTTCAGCGACTTCTCGAACCTGAACCTGCGCCCACACTGCTTGCACAATTGCGGCCACTCTTCACCGGCGTGCGACGTCAGATGTGTTTTGAGCACCACACCCCAGGCAAAGGCTACCTACCTTGTACTCCCACTAACTGGCCACTTTATTAGAAACACCCACCTTGTACTCCCACTAACTGGCCGCTTTATTAGAAACACCTACCTTGTACTCCCACTAACTGGCCGCTTTATTAGAAACACCCACCTTGTACTCCCACTTACTGGCCACTTTATTAGAAACACCTACCTTGTACTCCCACTAATTGGCCGCTTTATTAGAAACACCCACCTTTTACTCCCACTAACTGGCCACTTTATTAGAAACACCTACCTTGTACTCCCACTAACTGGCCACTTTATTAGAAACCCTGTAACCGCATCATTAACATAATCAGTATTACAGTATCTTCAGGTTCTGAACTGCTCCCTAATTCACTGTGATCTGTGAAAAAGCACACGTGTAAAAGTGTTAGTGAAACGTTTTTATTGTCACACCCATAAATGGTCCCCTTATAGAGTTGAACAGTTTACACAGCATTAAAAAGGCACACA